GACTGGAGTGGTAGAGACTTTAAACTAGATGCTAATGACCTTCATCAAACTTCTGTCCACCCCAGGTCACAGTCTCTACATCTGCAAACCATGCAGATGATCTTTCTGGATTTCAGGACTTGTGGAAATAAATAAGAGCAGGCTGAGGCTGTTTATTCAGGGCTTACTATATCAAGAGAGTCAGCCAGCATCACTTACCTTTGGCAGAGACTCAAAAGCAGGCAGAAGAATGGGAAAGCTTTATAGTGGAAGAAAGGGATGGCTCCAGGTGTACCATGATTGGAGGTTGTTTGCACAGGGAAGCTGGAGCATTATATGTGATTGGTTAAGGGTGCATATTTGGCTTTCTTTGGTTGATCCTGAGTTTGAAATGAGGGTGAAATTTTAGGAAAGCTGTCAGTCATCCATCAAGTCCTGACCATTCTTAGCTGATGGTTGCAGAGGTTATGGTTTAGCTCCCTGGGCTACTGGCTTCAGAGGTTGTGATGCAGAGTTCCATTGTCATATGTTGTCTGGTCATTGTCCATCTGTATGTTCAGTCTTTCAGAGGGGCTATTCCATGGACTGAATAAGATGTCACTAAGTACCTGGCACAGCTCCTCATGCATGGTCAAGCTTCAATGGATCACATTATAATTTTAAACTATTAAGAAATAAACAAGCCTGGGGTTAATTACCAAGAGACTTGAGTATGGGAATGACGAAAGTTTTGTTTTAGGAATTTTGTTCTGCAGTATGATGCAGAATTGATTAAAGGGACTAAGAGTGATGTGATGCAGGCCTGTGTTGCCATCTTGGTTGTAGCACCTCAGAACAGGAAATGCCTCTTCCACAAAGTGGATTAAAGTGTAAGAAAAATCTTTTGACAAAGCAAAGATGAAGCAGGCTGTGAACTCAGATCAGGAGACATATTTTATACATCATCCTGCAGCTGTCATTCCATGTCGTCGGAATCACATGTTTTACTGGGGTCGTACTTATGTTTCTGTTCTATACCATTTTTTCCCTCAGCTAAAATAGAAACAGAAGTTTGGTTGACTGGCTATCTGGGAGAAGTTTGTACTTTGTTTAGATGAAGGAGAAGGAAGGGAAAAGTCAGATTTTGGCAACGACTAAAATGCTCAAGAAAGGAAAGCTGGGGTGAGGCAAGTCTCTAAGGCCGAGGGCTGATGTCACCATCTGTCCCAGGGATGGAGGCTACTTCTCTTGTTGGGGAGGATGGCGGATCCAGGTTCACACCAGCAAGAAATCAGAGATGCACTGCAATTTCTTTTTTTTCTTGGTGAAGTCCAGAAAGGCAGTTATTTGAGGAGGCATAGTAAATGAAATGCTTACAGAAGAGGATGTCTATGAGTTGGTTATATAAAAGTATGACAAATGACCACCTGTTGTTTTAAAACTTTCTTACCCTTATCCACGTTATGCATTTTTAAAATTTTCTTTCTAATCACTATGTAATATTGCAGAGTATGGACATTTGAGTATAAACTAGTTCATATTGTATAATTATTAAGACACAGGTTAAAATTAGTCACCATAAATACCTTGATGACTTTTGAGAATCAGTCCGGGTACCTAACTGGAGGAGATTGATAGCATAATTAGAGGGATCAGTACAAAAATATTCCTAGACTTTTATTGCTTCAGGGCATATAAACTCATAACTATATAATGATATATTGATAACTTGACATTGGTTTCTGTAATGCATTTAGCCTTTTTCTCTGTTTTTTCCCCTCATTTCTGCTTTACAACACTAGTAGTGAAGATTATGAAAGACTTCCATCTTAACTCAAGCTACTATAAGTTTGTATAATTGCAATCTAAATTTACTACTGTTAAACAGTAAAAAGAAGAAATTTAGAATCACTGGAGCCATTATTTTAATTTTTTAAACTTTTAATTTTGAGATTGTAATAAATTAAGAGGAAATCACAAAAACTGTACAGAAAGGTCTAAGTACCCTTTACCCCAAGGGTTAACATCTTATGTAACTATACAACAACAGCAAAAACATTGACATTGGTGCAATCCACAGACCTTATTCAGATTTCACCTCTTCTACATTCACTCATTTGTGTGTATTTTTATGGCTCCATGCAATTTTGTTACATGCGTAGGTGCCTGTAACTACCGTCACAGGGAAGACACAGGACTGTTCCATCAGGGCAAAGACCTTAGGAGATCTCCTCTGCTCTTCCTTGGTAGCCACACCCATCCCCTCCCCCATCTATAACTTCTGGAAACCACTAATCTGTTCTCTAAGAATGTTTTATGCATTGAATCATACAAAATGTAACTTTTGCTGCTTTCCTGCTTTTCCACTCGGCATAATTCTCTTGAGACTCATCCAACTTGTTTGTATCAATACTTTGTTCTTTTTTTATTCCTGACTGGTATTTCATGCTATGAAAGTACAACAGTTGGTTTTTTATTCCTGACTGGTATTTCATGCTATGAAAGTACAACAGTTGGTTAAACCTTTCACTCATTGGAGGATATTTGGATTATTTCCAGTTTTTTACTATATAAGAAAGAAAGCTGCTAGGAACATTTTTGTACAGGTTTTAATGTGAGCCTAAATTTTCATTCCTCTCAGATAAAAGCCCAGGAGTGCTATTTCTGCATAATATAGTAAGGTTATATTTAGTTTAAAAAAAATTTTTTTAAAGAAACCATCAAACTATTTCCCAGAGTAGTTGTACCATTTTACATCCCTGCCATCAGTGTATAAGAAATCTAGTTTCTCTGCATCCTCTGCAGCATTTGGTGTTTTACTTTTTTTTTTTAATATCAGCTATTTTAATAGGTGTGTTGATATCTCATCATGGCCTTAATTTGCCTTTCCCTAGTGGTTAATGATGCTGAACTTCTTTTCATGTGCTTATTTTTCATCTATATCTCCTCTTTAGTGACATGTCTGTTAGTGTCTTTTGCCCATTTTCTAATTGGATTGTTTTGTACTTTTGTTTTGAGAGTTCTTCATATATTCTAGATAGGGGTCTTTTGTCAGATATGTGGTTTACAAATATTTTCTCTTTCTCTAAGTCTGTAGATCATCTTTCCATTCTCTTTTTTTGTTGTTGTTTTGCAGAACAAAAGTTTTAAATTTTGGTAATACGCAATTTTTTTGTTTTTCTTTTATGGATTGTGCTTTTGGTGTCATCTATAAGAACTCGTCATCTTGCTATATAGGTCTTGAAGATTCTTTCTTATGTAGCTTTACATTTTGCTTTTAAATCCTTGATCAATTTCTAATTAATTTTTGTGTAAAGTGTGAGATTTTGCTTTAGGCTCACTTTTTCCCCTATGGATATCCATTGCTCCAGCACCATAAATTGAAAAGATTATCCTTTCTCAAATGAATTGCCTTTGCATTTTTGTACAAAGTCAATTGGTCATACATTTGGGCGTTTATTTGTAGGTTCTCTATTCTGTTCCCTTGATCTGTATTTCTGTTCTTCTGCCAGTACCACATTGTCTTGAGTACTGTTACTGTAGTTGTAGAGTAAGTTTTCAAATCAAGGTAAAATAATTTCTCTAATTATTCTTTATTTTTAAAAATGCTTTAACTATTCTTTATTATTTGCCTTTCCATATATATTAGAATAAACTTTTCTATAGCTCTAGGACTTTGATAAATATTATATTAAACTTACAGATCAATTTGGAGAGAATTGGCATCTGAAAATATTGAAGCTTCTATCCATGAATACAGTATGGCCTCCTTTTATTCAGAGCTTTGATTTCTTTCATTGGTGTTTTGTAGTTTTCAGTGTACAAGTGCTATGTAGATTTTATTAGATTTGTACCTATGTACTTCATTTTTAGTGATTATAAATTGCAATGTGTTTTTAATTTACACTGCATTTCTGAAATAAAATTTTCTTGGTTGTGGTGTAGAATTATTTTTATATATTGCTGGATTTGATTTGCTAGTATTTTGTTGAGGATTATTGTACTTATGATCATGAAGGATATTAGTATTTTTTCCTTTTTTTGTACTTTTTGTCTGGTTTTGGTATTAGATAATACATGATTTGGGAAGTGTTCTATACTCTTCTACTATCTGGAAGAGATTGGGTAGAATTGATCTTAATTCTTTGAATATTTGGTAAAATTTCCCACTGCAACCACATAGACTTGGAGATTTTTTTCCTTAGGAATCTTTAAACTACAAATTTAATTTCTTTAATAGTTGTAAGGCTTTACATCATCTATTTAATTTATGTCATCTATTTAATGTTAGTTAATTTTTGGTATTTTGTGCTTTTTGAGGAAATGGTCCATTTTATCTAAGTTGTTGAATTTGTGTGTAGAGCTGTTTATAGTAGTCCATTACTATGGCCTTAATATCTGCAGGATTTGTAATTATATTCATTGTTTCATTCCTAATATTGGTCATTTGTGCCTTCCTTCTTCTGTCAGTCTTCCTAGACATTTGTCACTTTGTTCATCTTGTCAAAAAACTAGGGGTTTTTTGTTCATCAATTTTCTCTTTTAATTTCATTAGTTTCTGCTGTTATTTTTACTTTTTCTTTTCTTCTGCTATCTTTGGGAATATTTTGCTATCATTTTTCAAACTTCTTAAGGTGAGAGCTTAGATAATTTGAGAACTTTCCTCTTTTTTAATGTAAACATTTTGTACTTTAAATTTCCCTCTCAGAAGTGCTTTAGCCACATCTTACAAATTTACATATATATAATTTTTCATTCAGTTGACTGTATATTTGATTTCTCTTGTGACTTCCTCTGTGATCCACAGACTATGAAGTATAAATTGTAGAGAGAGAGAGAGAGAGAAATCAGATCTCTAAGTCTATTACATCTTGTTCAGAACTAGAAGTTCTAAAGCAAGTCATGTGAAAGTGCAAACATTTGAGCTTTGCATTAAACTTTCATTCACTTATCAAGCATTTCCTAAAATCTTCCACTGAATCAACCTGTTATGCATGGAGCATCTACCTCTTATATGTGGGGTACTGTTATTCTTCCTTTAGATTGTACAGAGTCAAATGAAATAGTCTTGCCTCCCAAGCGTGAAGCTGGTGATGGTTCAGCCTGGTTGAAGCTCCTGATGTCTGGTCCATTTTCTTTCTCTGATGCTGACTGGTTTGTCTCTTCTACTTCCCATTTGAGAGGCTTTCAACAGCTTCATAGTCTTCCTAAAAGGGTCAATTTTGGGATGTGCTCCTTGAGGATATGCCTTGAGGTAGCGATGGAGACAAAGGTAAGTCTGCTAACTGTGAGGTGAAAGCACTGTTTTTTGAAATCAATAATTAGAAGAATCTGGTAGAAATGACTTTAGATAGAAATGGTACAGTTTGTATTTTCAGTGTTTGAAAAAATAAAAAAGAAACCTCAATAATTCAAGAAATCCAGAGAGCTCAAGTTCATTTAGAAAATATCTTCCTAAGTGACTTACTCATATATATAAAACCCGCATCAAGTAGAGAAATATTATAAGAAATTCCCTGATAAAGAACAAATATGCTATGATGTGTTTTAATCAGTGGATTGAGTATTCCTTCCTTTGGAGGCTGATCCTCACTTCACTGTCTTAATTCCATCTCTCCTCATCTTTCCCCTAGATAAGTAGCTCCTGGCCTGAGAGCTGCTGTGCTTCCTCCCATTGGATCTTTTCTCACGGTCATTCTCTAACTTGGCATGTATATGCAGCTAAATGATCAATGGCTCCATGAAACAGAACTCCATTGCATTGTATTCTGCAGTTGTTGGGAGGAGCACCTATAAATGTCAATTACCTCTTGTTGGCTGATGATATTGTTCAGTTATTCGATATCTTCATCATTTTTCTGCCTTTTAGGTCTATGAATTTTTTGAAAGTGGGGTCATGAAGCCCCCAACTATAATTGTGGATTTGTCTACTTATTTTTTCAGCTCTTTTAGTTGTGTATATTTTGCAGCTCTGTTGTTTGTTGCAAGTACACTTAGGATCACTGTCTTCTGGTGGATTGACTGCTTTTAATCATTATATAATATCTTTCTTTGTTCCTGATAATTATCTTTGCTCTGAAGTCTTATTTTATCCGTTATTAAGGAATGATTCTCTCTAAATCTCTCTGGTTCGCTGGGATAAGCAGTTCTGTTTTTGCATCCTTCAGGAAGGTGTAATGGCTCTGTCCTGCACCCAGGGAGGCCTCTGTAGTTAATGTGTTGACCCAAGAGAGGAGGAAGAGAAAGCTGGTGTCACAAAATGACTGACAGTACCTGCTATTTTTACCCACAAGGTCCCCTCACCCAAGAAAGAGACGGTAAAGAGGAGGGGATCTTGCAAGGAGCTGGAAATCTTACTGGAGTTGGACAAATAAGAAAGGAACATGAGAGGTTTTTCTTAGTGACAGCAATTTAAATCCTGGCCTTGTGTGGCCTGAGGAAATATGGACTGAGTGAGCAAATAAGTAATTCACAGTTTGCTTTTTTTTTCTTGCTTTACACACAGTCATCCTCCTTGAGGACTCTATGACATCTCTGGTAGTTATATTTTCAAAAAAATCTAAAAGCTTTGATGTAAAACCATGGGTAAAATTGATTTTATCAATTTGACCAATAAGCAAACAAACAGATCTCTTATATAATTTAGGAGCTCAAGCTTGACTTTTAGATATGAAGATTTAATTTAATAAAGTTCACATTTTGTTCAGTTTAGTAATTGCACTTTTTGTTTTTGTATCAGTGCTTCAAGAAAAATTCATTCAGTATTTAATGGATTAAAAGCTAATGAATTTACTCTGCTTTCAGGAAATCAAGATAAATTCATCATAAGTTATATACTATATTGTATATCGTTGCTACTAAAAGTAGTAAGATAAGTGACTGTCACGTCATAGATAATTATCTTGGGATAATCAATTAGAGAATGATAGGCCTGGAAGGAATCTTTGAGATTGACTTGTTCAGCCCTTAATTTTATAGAGGTAGAGCTGGTGTCCAGCAAGGGGAGCTGACTAGGAAGGGACAGATGGACCAGGGCGTCTTAGCCCTGAAAAATGTCTCCTGGGAAAAATACAAGGAAAAACTTCATTTCCTCTTATTTTATTTTTGTTATCTCTTTAAAGTAATATTTTTAATAACGTGATGTAATTTGCCATTCTGTAGACTGAGAAACTTTGCTAAATGAATTGATAGAAAGGAATAGAAAGAACTGAATTCTAAAAGAGTATATTGAAAAAGTTTTTAGGAGGATAAAAGACTTGAGTTTTATTCCCCCCATGAAAAGTTTTTAAAAATATTACCACCAACAAAAGATAAATAAATGATAAAATTTGAACTAGCAAAACCATTTTTAAAATAGCACTTATAAGAGCTTTGAAGTGAGAAGTTTGACTTTTAATCCTGAAGCTAAAAATTTATTTGAAGGGTAATAGATTAGATTGCACACAGTCTATCAATAAACAGCTTTTGAGTTGTTCTATCAGTAACTGAACACAGAGCTGTTTCCTGTAGTGGAATCTATACTATTTAATGAGTAGATCTCTGAATCTGAGAATTAGAATAACTTCTTTCTGCCAGCAACAAGAAATATTTTAATTCTACCTCTGGAATACACTGATCAATTACAAGTCACCTCTCTTGGGAGATTTATTAATGTTAAGAATGGAATGAAAGTTTTTGGTTAGGTAATATGTACGAGAAATGTTTGCAAAAAATGCGTTTAATATGCAATCAGTAAAAATAGAATTATTGAGTCAGCACAATTAGACAAAAAGCCTTGGTCAGCAAGAAAGTCATGTCTGGGCCAAAGATATATTTGAATATTTAAGCACAGTTTGGGAGTTCTGGCAATCACAAGAGAAGGGAGAAAGTTTGTGAAGCTGGTGCAGGTAACAGCGACTAAGATCATTACAATAAGGAGTTTACTTTATCTTTTCATAGATTTGAGTCTAGAATACATATGATAAAAGTCTGAATCACCTGGGATACTAGGCTAGGCATCTCAGTTTTTTTCAGCCTAGAGGATTTATATATTAGCAGATGAGGTGCAAGTTGAAACCTTTAGATACCTTATTCCCAACTGAACATCAAGTTCCAATTAAATATGAACAAATATGAGCTTTCAAGTGCCTTTGAGTAATATTTAAAATTATTTACTCTTTCCTATGAAATCATTTATCATTTTTCCTCACTTCTGGAACAATCTGCCATCTTAAATATTTTGGCTTGATAAACAGACTTCACAACTTTTTACTTCCTTCTGAAATTCAACACCGGTGACCTTAATAAAACTCCCAAACCAGATTCTCATTTAATTAGGTTTTTAGTATAGTGAGGAGCAGCTCTTCAAGGTTAATAATTTCTCCATCATTTAACAAGTGTTACCTTCATCAACAGACTTCAGCCGTCACCCCATACTTATTCATTGCATTTTGTAAATGAAAAACAAGGATATTTTTTTAAATGTTGAGCTTTCCTCAGCCACATTAAGAATATTTAAGACTTCAAGTTAAACATAGACTGTTTTTGATAAACAATAGTATTTTACAATACCAAGAATAAAAGGTGAGTTGGCTTTGGTATGAGTGTCACTTCTTTGTATGTCTTCATCTTCTTGCAGACTTGAAAAGTACATTCTTTTCATATAAATTCTTCTTCTTTCTAAACAGTGTTTCAAAACCAGGAAGAAAGTTAATCTATGAAGTAAGCAATAGAAAAATTAAATATAAATGTAGCAGAAAACTAAAAGAGTGCCCTTTTGTCCCATGTCTTTGTGGGCTTTGTCCTGAGTTATGACTATGTTTGTATGTGTGTGATCTCTATAAACTTTCTGTTCTATGGAGCTAATAAGAAATATATTTCTTCAATATCCTTGAAAATAACTATCTTGTGTGTTTATTTCCAATGGTACTCTGGGTCAAAGGCTATTTTTTTTTTTCTTTTTTGCAGTACGCAGGCCTCTTACTGTTGTGGCCTCTCCCGTTGCAGAGCACAGGCTCCGGACGTGCAGGCTCAGCGGCCATGGCTCATGGGCCCAGCCGCTCCGTGGCATGTGGGATCCTCCCGGACCGGGGCACGAACCCGTGTCCCCTGGATCGGCAGGTGGACTCTCAATCACTGCACCACCAGGGAAGCCCTTGGAAACATCTTTTAAAAATAAATTTTAAGTCAGTCAGTCACTTAAGCAATTTTAAGTTATTAATAGAGGGGAGAGAGTGTTTATTGTTCAATTTAGATTTTCTTTAAACAAAAAGAAATAGAATACTTGAGATAAAACTAAAATCACCCTTGTTTTCCTTTTACTTCCTATCTACATTGTTCTGGCCAGAACAAATCACTCTCATGAATTTGGTGTGCATTCTTCCAACCACTATATTTTTACTTCCATTAATTAGCTCTGTTATCTTTAAAATTTATAGTATTGCTTGGCATATCTTCAAATTTACACAAATCATATGATAGTCTATGAGGTCTTTTAACTTAAAATTGTCACATTCAACTTTATGTTTTTGAAAGCTAGCTGTGTTGATATGTAGAGGACTCCTTCATTCATTTTGCTGCTGTGCAGTGTTCTGTTGTTTGCCTGAATCTCAGTTCTGTTGTTTGCCTGAATCTCAGTAGTTTTGAACTTTCCATTTTCAGGTTTAAAATAATGCAGCAGTGAACAATCTCATCCATGTTTTCTGATCTCATGTCTGAGATGTTTTCTAGAGAATTCACATACAATTTATAGAATGAAGGATTATTATTCAGAAAACACAAAGACTTCCTGTAAATCAACTAGGGAAATGAAAGGACAGCACAATAGAAAAATACAACAAGGTTATTGACGGGAAATTTGGAGAACAGATACTTGATTCAGTAATTACCAATTTACAAAACAAGTAAAGAAAAAGCAAAAGGAAGAAAAATCCATTAGTAAACAGGAATACTGGAAGGTAAACAGTGAAATAATATTTGCATTCATTAGACTGAAAATCTTAAAGAGTCTGACAATACCAAATTTTGGTGATTATGTAAAAAAATAGGAATGCCTGTATCTACCTGAAGAGAGTTAAAATTGGTAAATTACTTTGGAGAATAATTTGATAGTAGTTAATAATTTTGGAATGAACTAATATTTACACATTTACAATTATACCTCTCAACTATTAAAACATTTTCTGTTATGATTGAATATTAATATTTACTATGAATGAAAGGTGTTTCTTCAATTATTGAGGCAATCCTACAACTTTTCTCCATTACAATATAATTTCTGATGTTGAGCCAACC